TGTGTGGTGTTTAGCTGCCTGCCAGATTAAACCACAACAGTCCTTTTCATTAATTCTTTCCCACTGAAGTAATATATCATATAAGAGCCACTGGTTAGTTCCCAGTGCAGATAGAGAATATTGCAATGGATGTTCTGATTTGTGTAAATTACTTGTTGCTGAGCTTATTTTGTTTGCTGAAACTTCAGAGTCCATGCTGTTTAATACTCCTAATCCTGTTCCTAAAATACCAGTCACATCTCTTCTTGATTGTTTTGGAGAAGTGAGGGTTTGTCCATGCAACCATGCTAACCATCCTGCATAGGACATACTTAGGAATAGTGAGCAAATAGGTTTAATTGTAGAGATACTGATCTGCATTGATAGTTCTACTCGTTTGAGGGACCATGATGGATTAAATAGCACTTGTTGCTGGCCTTATAGGGTCCAATTTTAGAAATTTGTGTGGATAGAGTTTTCTTATCTTTGACAGTCAGGGTGGATTTTAAGTGAGGAATGGTGGATGTTGTTGTGCCGGCCTCGGTAATGTCTATTTTGAATTTAAATGATAGTCCCATGTTCCTGTAAGCCCAGATGCAGATTATGAAACAGGTTGTACTAAAGTAAAATTGTACCAACAGTCTAATCTTTCAGAGGCGCAAAATTTTGTATCCTTTGTTATTGGGTTTGATGTAATGTTGTACACAGAAATCTCAGTTGCCTTTTCAAGGGTAGATCCATCAATCATCCAGCATCCTATTTTAATTTCTGTCCCTGCCATTCCCCAAAGTCAGGGAATTTTATTAACATCAGTTTCATTTCTATCCCAGCCCCATTCATTTTCTAAGTGTACTTCAGTTGTGTATATGACCACAGTGGAAAGATTCATATTTCCCTTACTAGGGAGTGTTCCCACAGTCCTGGTATACTTAACACGAGCTTGAGACCATGGCCACCCTAGGGTTTTCTCAGTAAGACTTCTTGGTAAAACTAGGGTAGTATTCAGAGTAGGCACTGACATGGTTGTGATAGGTTTAGTGATTCTGAGAGATATTGTTCCTAGTATTACATTGCATCTCTTCAGAGCATTCCATCTGCATGGTATTTTAACTTCATAATTCTCCTTCACTATGTCATATATTGAGCAATGACTTTTGTTACAGCATTTTCTATATGGTGTGCAAGAGCTATCACGAATAATCATAACATATATATATTCCTTGTTAACAGGTGGTTGTGTCTTACAAGTCACATTTATATTGCTGTCTGTTAGTAACAAGACGGGCAGTTTATCTGTGTTGACACAATTGTGGCTGATTCCTTGATTGACAATTGAGACAGGTGGGCATTGGTGGGGAAGCAAGTATTATGAAAGTCTTCAGCAGCAGTAGGACGATGTATCTTATTTTAATCTTGGAGGAGGCTGCAAGATAAAAGGGAAAAACTAGTCTCGGTGGGGTTTTCTAGACAGGTTACCCCATTAAAAGGAAGGAAAAATCCATTGTGCACTAATTCTGTGTTTTGCAGCACTGTTGTCAGTAGCTTCCCAGGCAAGTGGGCCACAAGGTTTTGTTAGAGTCATAGGTACAATTCCAATTTGTTGTAAATTTACCATGACAGATTGCTCTGGCTGTAATGTTATCGGGTATTTTCTTTCATCTGGAGGTGAAGGTGGAGCATCAGGTCCAGCTTTTGTAAAAGAGCGCTCAGCTCACAGGGCTGCCAGTGAGCCCATATCGATTATTCAGTTGATGAAGTACTTTGGAGAGTCGAGCATGCTACTAGGTCTCATGCGGCTTAAGGCTCCTTTTTAATAAGCCATTAGCTCTTTCTACCATCCCATTTGATAGAGGATAGTAGGGAATATGGAATACCCACTGAATTTCCTCCTGTTTTGCCCATTCTTTTACTTCCTTGTTGGAAAAATGTGAGCCATTGTCACTTTGGATGAAATTGGGGGTTGGTAGGCTTGAAAACCAAGAGGATAATCCTCTAATGGTGCTCTGACCATTAGCCTTCCAACATTTAGTTGCCATAATTAGGCTTGAGACAGCTTCTACTATGAGAATGTACTGACATCCCGAGGAGGGTTTAAAGGGTCCAATGTAATCAATTTGTCATGTTGACCATAGGGTTTTTCCCTCATTAATGTGTAGGGGTGGTGTTTTGGCAGGGTGATCCGTTTACAATTTCAATTTCCATCACACTGGGATAAGCTAGTAACTGGGGAATGATCCAAACTCCCAAAGATTTAATGATAAAAAACTCACTTGGGTGGCACTAAGTCCAACAGCCTTTCCTCTCCCTTCCACAGCTTTCCGGTTTTACCATTACACTGAAACAGTGACCATTATTTTACACAGTTGTAATCATAATCATGCACAACATGAATTTTTATCAAAAATGACCTCTAACTCTCCACCAGGACTTGCTCTAAGTTTGGGTTTGTAGGTAGTGGTCTGGCTTCATTTCTACCTACAATATACTCTGTACATTATTTCCAGCTTGGCCGTAAGGTCTGAGAGAAGCAATACTCCGCGAATTTAACAGGTCTAAAAATTCCTTTTCATTCTTATGCTTGTCACTTACAGCATTTTTAAGCTTGGCCACTGAAAAACAACAACAACAACAAAATCACCTGCCAGAAGAACAGCTTGGTGTAGTATATGTAAATATGTGTGCCTGGCTCTCCGCTTTCCCCCGCTTCCCTTCGTAGCGAAAGGAAAAGCAAGAGTGGTACCTTCAGGTCACATCCATCATGTCAGCCCTTTGTAATTAGGAGGACCTGATCATCACTTGAGTGGTGAGATGTTGCCAGGTACCAGCAGCATAAAGATGTAGTGATATTGCACTGTGAATTCCCATTGTGTTTCACTTCTCCAAGCTGGGCTGCAGGTCACGAAGATTACTGGGTGCAACAGTGCAGCAGTTTGTATTTACTATCTAGTAATAACACACTGTGGAGCACCATCTTAGCTTATTTACATGGATGTCAGCCCAAAGTAGCCTCTTGGTGCCACTGGATTTACAGAAGATTTACACCCCTGTAACCAAGAGCAGAATTTGGCCCTAAATTATGGTGTAGTTAAAGACCCTGTGTTTCTGAGTTGCAGAGAATTGTTTACACCCACATGAAATGGGTCATAAAATGCCATTGCACTGATTTGTTAGAGTGTTATACCCAATTTGCTCAGGTGTAAATAACTACCCAGTGGGTAGCATAATATTTGCATCCCGTAACTTAAGGCATTGCTGTATGCTGCAAATCAGTCAGGCTTCAGGTTCCACTATCCTCCCGGGAGCAGAACGGATGCTCCTGGCCTGGAGAAAGTGATGCAATAGCAGATTGCTAATGAATGGGAGTTCGTGGGGAGTGACATATATGGAATAAAACTGGAATATCTTGTGTATATTTTCATTGCCCAACCGGTTATTTTTTGCAGCTGAAGTCTCGTGTCCTGATGACTCCCTTAGCGATTTCTCCGCCGAGAAGCACACCAGAGCCGGATATTAGTTCAATCCCCCAGGATGCAGCTACGATACCCAACTCAGCCACCCCACAGGCTCTCACAGGTACCCCGCCTCAAGTGCTCCTTGGCCCAGGGGTGAGCAGGAACCATGGGCTGACAGCCAGATGCTGTGCTTTCCAGAACAGGCAGAGCTCATGAAAATGGGGCGTTTCCAGATTAGACTAATGGCCAGTGACAAAAAGCACAGATGTTCCGCAAGACTATATTTTGACTGCCATGTGTGAAGTTTAGCGGAGACCTCAGATCCATTCCTCTTGAAATGTGGACATCAACGTCCCACGGATACTACCATTTTATACCCGATACTTACCCCAGACTAAACCCCAGTGTGAACATGAAGCATCTGTTACAGCTGTGAGGAGAAGGACGGAGGAGCCATGGTCTGACTGTAGGCAGGATTAGCCAGCACGTAAACCCCAATGCCTTATAGCAACAGCAGACCAGGTCATTTCTGTCTGTAGTCACGGAAAGCATAGCCTTAGTCTTTTCTTAACTTATATGACCAGAAGAAACATAGATCAATGCTTTTAAACTGATGTAAATGAGAAGAAAATCAACAAGACAGTTATTTACCCTGAGATTTCAGCAGAGAAATAGATTAGATAACGTTAGAATCTAAACACAACACATAAATCCCATTATTTCTTAGCTGGGATGCACAGAGGAGAAGTTTTCCATCTGCTCTGGTAGCAGAATGATACTAAACGTAGCGACGATGATGATAATAATATATTTTATTCTCATTTATCCCTTCACATGCGAAGACTGCAAAACGCTTGGCAAACATCAGCTGAGTGGCATTTCATAGCGCTGCTCTGAGAGGCGTGCCCAGTGCTGCTTTCGGAGCGGGACAGGGAGGCACAGTCCCCCAGCCCCACCAGGTTGCCAGGGTGGCCACAGAGGCAGAGGCTCCAAGGGGCGTATCAGGCTCTGCGGATGCGGCGCCCTGCACCTCTGTCTGCCCACCCCCATGCTGCTGGCACCTTTTCTCCCAGCACCTTCCAACCATGCGTGTAGGCACCCGCTGGAGCAGGGCTTGCAGGAGGTGGAGGCACGCTCAGGTCAACTTCTACCTCCCTATCTGTACTGAAAAGACCATAGGGGCCCCTGCTCCCCAGCGAGGGACCCAGCATGCTGCCTGCAGGCTGCAGAGTCCTCCTGCAGCTGAGCCCCGGCCAAAAATGGTGGCTTGTCACCGCAGAAGCCCCATTCTGCAGATTTGGCAAGGTTTGGCACAGTGGCATGCCAGGAAAGCTGCACCCTGACAGCCCCCTGCAATTCATGCATGCTGCTGCTGTCTTTTGGTGTGTTATCCCTTTGTTTGTTTGGCACTTGGAAGGTGTAAAGTGCTATGTAATGATAAGTATGATTGCTATTATCCTCCTGTTTACCCAGGATATACTGCTTGAGCCCCTTGTGCTGTTCAGCGAGAGGCTGGGTAGCGGAGTGTGCTGTGACAGTTGCACTAGATTTTCATTACGGTGATGCAAACTGTAAATTATTTCCAACTTTACACAGCTGTCACCATGTCCTCCACTCTGCTTGATGTTTTTTTTGTCACATATCTGATTTCTGTCAGAGGATAATGTTATATTGTCTGAGAGATGACAGCTCGAGCACACTCAGCCAGCTATTATAATACGTCTCACTTTAGCCTGACTTTAGGCTGTGTCTTAGTCGCCCTTAGTTACCACAGCATTATCTCCGCTTCCTCTGAGATGCAGTTAGCCTCAGCCAAGCTTAAAATAAGTTCATGCTAGCGAGAGGAGAACGCTGATTTTTTGCCTATTGCCAGCAGGCTTGATGGCGTGGAGAAAAACTGCTTTCGCAGGCAACGCTGTGTGAGAGGAGGCATGCAGGGCTTGGCTGAGGAGAGGCTGGGGCATCCCTTGCAGATGCCCTGTACAGCACAGTCGTGCAGCTCTGGTCCAAAATGAGGATTTCGCACTGCACATGATGTACATTTTCCCTCGAAGAAATGCAGTTTGCAGAGTGCTGGCTTGTACAGGGGGGTCAGGAAGCTCCCAAAGACCAGAGTCTCTGGCATTGCACTGTGCAGATCAGCACAGCACAAACCTCCAGAAATTCCAGCTGCATTAAGGTCAGAAGCAGCAAGAAACCAAAGTCTCCCAAAACTCAGCTCAGAACAGTGCTTCTCAGAGGGCCTTTCAATGAACCAGTCTAAACACATAGAGAGATTAAACAAAACAAACAAAACCACCTTAGGCTGGAGTTTACCCATTGCTGTAAGGTCACCCCTGCTAGTTGCTGTCCTGCAATTCCTGGGCATTTTTTCTGGTCACCAGCTGGATGTACAAGGGAGTCTGCAAGAGAGCAGAACCCAGGCACACACAGGGGGGCTTCCAGGAGCTTCCTGAGTTGCATATAGCTTATCCTCACCTGTGACACCCAGCAAAGGCCCAAACTCAGCTCAGTTCACATAGACAGTGGGTGATCAGTGCAAGGAAGCCTGGCTGTGCCATTGCAAATGGCAGCCATTCACCGATAAATGGAAGAGCTCATGAAAGAAATAGAAAAGGATAAAGCTAGCATTTGCTAGGATGCTCTCTGGGCCATTTTGTAATAACCTCGTTGGGATTTTGTGTCTACAGTCTGCATTTACGTCAACAAACAAGCAAACCTGGGGCCGTACCTCGACCGAAAAAAAGTGCAGCAGCTCCCAGAGCACTTTGGGCCCGAGAGACCATCCACGGCCCTGCAGCAGGCTGTTCAGGCCTGCATCGACTGCGCCCTCCAGCAAAAGGTGGTCTTCTCGCTCATCAAGCAGGGCTATGGAGGCGAGATGGTATCAGGTAAAGCATTTTTGTAAGGGGTTTGTGGCCAGTTGGGAAGTGCTTGAAATCTTATCTTGATCCCCAGTGCTGACTGTCCTAGCAGTCCCGTTCACATCAGCAGGATGGCAACCAGCTTTAAACATCACTTAACGCCTTTGTAAAATGAGCTGCTGCAGGAATTGCCCGGGTGTCAGATGAAAGTCTATCGGTAAGGGCATTGCAGCGGTGATTTAAGGGAGGAATAGGGCTAGCTCCGGAGTCCTGCGCTTCCCGCTCTTTGAAACGGTGCTGAGGCCAGGCCTGTGAGCTGAGTTTTGATGCAGCCGTACAAGGATGAGCAGCATTGCAAGCCCACATCATGCCACGTGTTTCTGCCACACGTTGCTCTAAAGGAGAACTTGCCGAGAGTTCAGCTGCTGCTGTGTCCTCCGCCTGCAGTTCATGAGCCAAACCAGCTCTCAGCTGTAGGAAATGCAAAAGTCCTGCAGCAATTGCCCATACAGCAGGACTATACAAATATATCAGACAGAATCAGATCAGAGGGAACTTCCCAGGAGCTCCTTATCTTCCCACAGTGACACTTCTCACTGTGTCCTGATGAGTCTCCCATGTCCCACGCTGAATCCCCTGGCTTGGTTCACGCACTTTTCTTTCAATCACAGCAAGAGTTTTGTGTCACAAGATTGCTTTAGCACATGGGGATGCGGTGGGAATGAAACAATGATGGGAATATGGGAACTATGCTCTCCAGTGAGCTGCCACGGATGAGTCAGGCACAAACACGAAGCCAAGGACCACAAGTCCAATCAGTTTTGCAGGGACCACAGCAGCTCAGCTGTGCCACTGGGACACTCTTCTGTGCCCGCTGTGCAGCATATAAATCCTGCTTCCTCCCTTTCCTCTAGTTCTCTCTAATCACAGGTGTGCCTTCCCTAAGGGACGTCAGGAATACTCTAAGAATGATACAAATTTGTTCACAGAAACACAAGACTGAAGGAATTTAGTGTAAAGCTTCATTTTTGCCTGGTTCTGTGCTGCGTATATGATTTTCATTACAAGCACGAGAGTCACATTGTGCACCGAGCCTGCCAAGCCCCTTGGTCTCAGTTCCTCTGAGCTGGCTCGGTTTCAGGTACCTGAGCTAAAAGCACCCAGTCAACATTGCTTCCAACTTCGTGCCTTTACTAACTATCGAGGAGGGGTGAATGGCCTCCTAGTCATGTTGTGGCTCTGAGATTGCAGCTCACTCCCAGCCCAGAAGCAGCACAGACAGATTTTGTCGTGGGCTTTCCAGTCTTCCCATGACTTGGCTCACAGATGCTCGACTGGCTGTGGAGCATCATCCCTTACAGCAGCTCAGGCCATCAGGAAATCTCTAAAGTCATCCCAAAGATTATAAGCCTAACACTGCAATTTATACTTGTTAGTAGTGACTGGAGGCTGTAGGACTGGAAAAAACCTTCCAGGTGGTAGAGTTCAGGCAGCCGTATCATGTAGTCCTCCCTGCAAACCTGTTGACATCTGCATGTGTCCTGCTAATTGATCCTGGTGGGTCTGTTGTGACCCCTCCATCTCTCTCATGGCTGGGACCTATGCCCTTTTTGATTCCTGGCTAAATATATTCCCTGACAGCTTTGTCCAGGAATTTTAATTGCTTTGCTCTCACCCTCGAGTTAAACTTAGATGTATTTCTGGAGAGCAGTCCTCATCCTGCTAGGCTGAAATACACAGTTTCTTTCAGGTCATCTCTGCATTGTGAGGAAGATCACTGGATTAGTGAATGAAGTGCAAGTGTCTTCCCACAGCCCCATGTAGCAGAGATGGTGATGGCTGCAGTGCCACAGGGAAACTTTCTGTTCCCTCAAGATCGCTGTGGCCTGCCTGTGCATCTCTTCAAGTGTGAATTCACCCTTCTCGAGCCTGGATTATCAGAATGGTGCCCATCAATCCAGCCCAGGTTTCACCAGGACACTCCCTTGTCTCTCCTGGAAATGCTTTGTTCAATACCTCCTTGAAATATATCTGACTTTTTCATCGCTGTGTCACCTTGGTGACTCATGGGCATCTGGTGAGCCTGTCCCATCATTTCTCCTCCCATCAGGTCACGTTGAGCCTCCTAGAAAAAATTATGGATTGCTGTGTACTTTCCAGTATTTTTTTCCATCCACTTTTATTACTGCGGAGCTCAAGATCAGCCAGTCCTTTCTGTGCAATCTCCCAATCCTCTTCTCCATTGATAATGTCTCCTAGTTTATAGCATCAACAAAATCTTTTTGTGCCAGCACGGACCACTGCCAGTTCCTCTGCAGTGCTTGGGGTCTCTGGCCAGCAGAGCCTCTTGTCATCTCCTGACTCACCTTTCATATGCAATCATTTCTAGTTTAATGAAAGATTTCTCATACTTCACTGAATTCCAGATAGACCACAACTGCCACCATTCCCTTGCCTATAAATGCAATTAAATCAGTAAATAAAGATCCACAGTGAAGCTGGTAGCCCTCTCTTCAGTACAACCCTGGTACCTTTTATTCATTCACAGCCATGTCTTTAATTCTTGTCTCCCCATTATCTTTCAAAACCTTGGCTATTGCCGAAGTCAGCCTAATAGCCCATCATTGGCAGATCACTTTCTTTCCCCTTCCTTAGACCAGGATATTATAATTGTCTCCTTCCAATCATAAAATCCAGTTTTCAGTTGGATGCATATATGAGAAATCCTTGCATTGCTGGCTATGCCAGTCAGCATCTTTCAGCGCTCCAGGGGGAAGGTGATCTGGGTCACACAAACTCAGCTCCTTAAGGTCCTCCAGTTTGTTTTGTGCTTCAGGTGGGGTAATTATGTAAAATATTTTAGGACATACAAATACTTGTGTGAAATCTTTTCCCTTGCTCTCATTCTTCCTCCTGCTGTGCATCCCCAGGTACTGAATTGCTCCTGCTTGCTTTCCAGTTTCAGCTTCTTTTGAGGGGAAGCAGCACCTCCTGAGCCTGCTGGTAGTGAACAGCATTGGGTATGTCCTGCGCTTCCTGAAGAAGCTCTGTCGCAGCCTCTTGTGTGACAATCTCTTCAGCAACCAGCCTTTCCAGCAGTACAACGCTGCGTCAGAAAGCCCAGAGGTGTATGAAAACAGACGGATGGAGGCAGGTAGGCTGCTTGATCAGCTTGGGCTCAAGATTTAATAGGGCTGAAGAAATTACTGTCTTTTTTTGGTCCTGTACTGTATATGCTAGAGAACTGCAGGTCTCTGTAGGACCTTTCCAGAGGGAGGCAGTGGGCTGATTTGTGGTATTTTTCCCAGTGGCTATAGAGGAGATTTTTGGGTGAGAACCACTGTGTTGAGGAGCCCCAGCAGTGACAGGGATAATTTTTTAATTATTTTATATCTCTCTATTTCTTTTATCTCTTTTCCTAAGGAAACAAGGCTTATATGATCATATTGTCCTTGTTTCTGTCAATTCTCTCCCATAACTTTTGGCCTCCTCAAGCATACCTGACCCTGGGGTAGAAGCGTCAAAGAGATTAAGTTCCTTCAAGTTTCAGGCAGGCAGGAAGGTAGAGGGGTAATTTCTCTCTCCCTCCAACTCAATCACCATATTAGACAGTGAAGCATCCCCACTGACTACCAAGCCGCCTCTGCTTGCAGACCCACTGCAGAGTGTTGCCTTTCCCCCTCCCCAGACCCCTCTGCTGGCACACTGCCTTGGCTCGTTGGCTGCAGCGCGAGGTGGGAGGCCAGGTGAGTGCGTGGACCCCAGCCCACGCTTTGGTGTCACAGCAGCATGAATAGGAAATCACTGCCGTAACGGCTGTGCTCTGACCCGGCACTGCCCCAGCACTTTGTTACCTGTGTGCTTCCCTGCTGGCACGCCGCTCGTTTTAAGGATCACCTGCAAAGCAGCACAGTCTGCCTTCACTCGAGGGGACCTGTTACTGGGCAGAGGGAGAGAGCTGCCCTCAGCAATGCAGTTTTGGGTCAGTGCCGTTAGTATAAATCTAAGGTAACATTATTAGCTGTAGTGCACTCAGCCTGGATCCCGATCTGTCACCCCCACCCATGAGTGTAAACCTAAATGAGAGTCGTGACTGCTAAGGGGTTTGCTTTGCTACTTGCAGGAGCATTTCTCCTTGCTTAAAATGCCTGTGGGCACCAGCAGGGTCCTTGCCTTAGTGCTTGACTGTGTGGGGCAAAGCATGGAGGGGCTGTGGCGTGGGGCAGATGAACCCAAGGATGGTGGTGGTCCAGAGAGGCACCTGCCCCGAGCAGCACCAGGCTCTCAGGTGGATGGCACCATGCGCCAGCGTACTGGGATGGGGTGCTGGCCCTGCGCGGCTCCCATGGACCTGGGACATGCCTGCAGCCCCCATCTGTAATCAGTGGCCAGAAAGCTGCTCTAGGGCCCTACTATGGACATTGCAAAAGTTAGTTTAGAAAAAAAGAAAGGTGCAAAGTTATGGCCCTGAACCTCTGCTTCACCTGCAGGCTTCCTCCTGACTTAAATTATTTTTCCTTCTCTTTTATTAATAACACTCTGGGTGTTTGGGGAGCAGACTGTCTCTCATGCATTCAGTTTAATGGCAGCTGCATGGTAGCAGCTGAAAGAATGGTGTTTTAGTGTCCACAATTATGACCCACGAATCGCTTGTTTGCCAGGAAGACCCTAAGTGTGTGCTTCACATGCTAAAGTTGGGAGTGGGCTGTGCACCCAGTGCAGAAATTGCCTTTTTGTGCAAAGAAATCCAGCTGCCAGTCTTATACATAGGGGAGGAAAGGCAGGAACCCAGACTGAAAAGCAGTATTTTTTTTTTCCTCTGGACTAGGACATTTGCAGCAACCTGGATGTTTCTGAGAGGTCAAGGGATTTCTGTAGCACTGAGTGAGCGCAGCCCAGGAGGCCTGGCATTTGTGTTTACATTTGCATTTTAATTTGCATTTACTTTTGCACAGCAAGGAAGGCAACTCCACAACCAGAGTTTTTAGAGTGGCTGTTACACTCTGAACATCTCTCTCCCTACATCATTTCAGTGCAGATGTCCCTGACAAAATTCCCACTGGCTCTGCACAACCACTGAGGAAGGGGCAAAATATTATTTTTGCCCCGGACCAGGCAGGAGATGTGGACGTAGGAAAGGCTGCTCTTCCCTGGCTCTCCCACTGCTGGGGGGCAATTAATAACCCCCCTGGAGGCAGCATGGGCTGGGCAGCCTGGGCTAGTCAGGGCTAGTGCTGGCCTGGGCTCTCATCCCCTCTGCCTGGGAGTGGGATGGGGGAAGAGGCAGTGGCTCTTGGGGCCTTTATATCTCCATCACCAGCAGCTCTGTGGTACAGTGGAGAATGCGAGCCGTGAAATAGGTGAGGACAGCAGTTATACACAGGGTTAAAATTCCCCTACCAGACTCCAGCTTGCTCACCCCGGGGGTCCGATAAGCCACTGGCCTGCTAGGCAGAGAGCTCTAGCATGGGTCGGCATGACCTGCAGAGATTTGGGTGCTTCCCTGTTGAAGTGGGGACACAGGAGAGGTGATGGAGGAGCCACCTGGTCCTGCAGTGAGGGAGGCTGTGATGAGCAGTGCCATTTCCAGAGCAGCCAGGTGCTCAGGTGGATCTCTGAGCTGGCAGCCCCAAAAGGGGACTCTCCTTCCACCAAAGACAAAGTGTCCTTGAAACAGGGAATTCTGGAGATGGGAAAAGTTGCCTCTTCCCCAGGACAACTCATGCCCAGCTCAGAAGCTGTCTGACCATGGCTGTGTGGCAGAGCAACTGGAGTGACAGCCTCGCACTCTCCATGCTGCACTCAGCCGGAGCCAGGCAGATCCATAATATTCCTTTTCATCATGTCAGGCTGTATTCAATAGCTCTGTTGGCACCAGTGGAATAACTCCAATTTTAGGCACTGGGGCTTGAGCCACTGAGTCTATGTTTAATACTGCATTGCCTAAATCTCCTTCCATGTCCCTGAGAGCCAGCATTTCTCTGCAGCAAGGTCAACACAGGGGGGACCTCTGCTACACAGAACAGAGATGGGTTTTCCCTGTAGTGGCAATAATAAGGAGGACAGTAGGAGCGCTTCTCGCAGATGTGTCTGCAAGGGCGCCTGTTGGGATAAAGCTCGCATGGAAGGAGCAGGGCCATAATAAAGCACCGCAGGAAGCCATGCAAAGCAGCCACATTTTTCATTGTTTCTGTTCTCCAGCTTGTAATCGAGATGTTCTTTCTTTTAAAATCATGTGCTTTTCAGCCCCTGTGTACCAATGAATTTAATACATGTATTGACTTTGGTGCAGTTACTCTTGATTTACACTGGCAGAAGTGAGAGGAGAAGCCGGCATCGTGTCCAGTCATATTAATCCACTTTCACCATACAGGAATCACCTTTTAACCTTGCCCCAAAGCACATACCCCTAAGCCATTATTCACCTGTGCTCACAGCAAACTGCCAGATGCTAATGGCTGCATACAGGCCAGGTGGGATTTGTTGATATATGCATATATCACTTACAACGATGTTTTACGTATCACTGGGCTGTACCCAGCACCGGCCTCTGCAATAAGCCTTGTTGGCTGTGCATTACCCTCCCTGCACCTGAGCCCCTGTGCTCTGCCTGCCCTGCCAATGCCTCTGGCACCAGCATCCAGTGGCCCCGCATGTGGAGCAAGGGTCCCTCTCCAGCCCTCTCCCAACATCAGTGGCTTCACTGCCTTGTCTTGGCACATCTGGGGACATATCCCATGACTCTTTGTCAGCTGTGATGGGACTTTCTGGCTCATGAGAACAATTTGTGGGGAGCAGCTGTGGGATGACTGCCAAGACTTTATCCGGGAAGTGCCCGGCTTCAGGTCTGCATTACAGCAAATCCTGAGATGTTACATGTCCCCACAGCACCTGGGTTCAAAGCACCTCTGGACTTGCACCCCAGAATTTTCCACGGAAGTGGTAGTGCAGTTTGGACTAAAATGATGGCAAGATCTGGGCAAACTCTGCAGAAAATGTGAGCATGTGAAAGGGACATTTCTTGTACACCTGCATACTGTTGATATGCATCTATGCAATGTTGGACTGTTATTTTTCAGAGGAAAGTATGCTTGCTATAAAACTTCTTGACAACCTGATGGTGGGCACAGATATTGAAGTAGTTTCTCTTATGTGGGAAGCATCAAACTTGATAAACATCTTCTTTCCACTTTCAGTCAATCCTTCCATTGCTCTTTCTACCCTGAACCTTGGGTTTTGGTTATTTTGTGCTATTAGACAATTGCTGTGCTCCATGCAGAGCATGGCTGCATGTAGCTGCAGCAAATCTTTCTTTATGCAAGGACTCCTGTGGTCACCCTGTATCCTTGTCCTCACCAGGGGGAAGACAGGAAGGTCTGTGAATAAGGTCCCCAGCCTTGCTCCTCTCCCCATGGCCAAGTCAAATTTGTATGCGTAGATACCATATGGTGTCCCCTACCACTGTCCACAGGAGAACAGCACCTCTTCTTGTGGCAGTGGCTGGAGGTTGGGCCCCATATGGAGCAGAAGCACAGCAGAAGGCAGAGGTACCCTATGCTACATCAGTGCCTCTATGTATAAGAAGGTGGGCTCTTCTTATCTACAAACACTTGAAAAGCTGGTATGAGAAGTGCTATAGTGATGCACTATAAAACTGACTAGTAGGCAAGACACTAGGCTGCAAGCTGGATTTTGTCAGAGACTTTCCCACTGATTGCATGGGCAAGTCACCCTTCCCTGCTGTGCCTTTATTTGAGCATCTGTCCAAGGAAGGTGGTAATCCTTGCCACCATTTGCAAAGCCCTTCTAAAACAGCTAGGAAAGAAAGAATAACATGATAGAAACCCACATATTATTACAATCAATATTTTCTGTTCCAAGCACCAAATAAACAGCAGCTCAGAAATTTCAGTCCCTGAGAGGGCAAGAAAAATGTTGTCTTTCCCTTTTCTAGTACTGTGGCTTGTTTAATCTTGTCTTGTTGCACGCTATAAGGAACAGTGGTCCTGGCTTCTCAGTGCACTCAGAATAAACAGCTTTTATGGCTATCAATAGCTTCGGCTCTCTTCAGCATTTAATTACCTGCAAAGGCCATTTATTGCCTCATATATTCCTCTGCAATGAACATTATCCTTTAAACAATAAATAAAATATTAAGGTCACTGTTAAAGAGGGAGCAGAGGAACTGCACAAGCCATCCAGCCACAGCAAAGTAATATAAAAAGTTTGTCTGGTCTTTGGGGCATTTGAATTGACGGCAGAACCTGCAGTAGAGCAGAGAAAGGCTGGGATGGCTGCAGGCACTCCCTTCCTTCCTTCCTTCCTTCCTTCCTTCCTTCCTTTACTTCCGTCCGTCCTTCCTTCCTTCCTTCCTTCCTTCCTTCCTTCCTTCCTTCCTTCCTTCCTTCCTTCCTTCCTTCCCTCCTTCCCTCCTTCCCTCCTTCCCTCCTTCCCTCCTTCCATGCTTGCATGAGTCTGCAGATCCATCAGCAGGCTGGGTGCCTCCTCCCTCTCCAGACCCGACCCAGCCAGCCCCAGGGCAGGGCACCCCACTGAGGACCCCCACACTGAGGTCCTGCCTGCAGCTGGAGCACCATGCCCAGGACTGGCTTCCTGAAACGAGGTGTCCAGGCTGGTAACTCTGTGGCAGAGCAGAAAGAGAGGCAGCTGCAGCTGGAGCTGCATGTTGTCATTCAGAAACCTGGGGAGGGACAGGAACAGTTTAGGATGGTACAAGAGGTAGGAAGTAAAAGCAGGAGGGTGAAAGAAAAGAGACAGTCAGGCAATGCTCCTGTGGAGGGGTTTCATGAGGGTGGTAGTAGAGGCTTCACCATTCAGGCCCTTTAAACATAGACCAGAGGAAACTAATGAAATGCACACTAAGGGGCAAATCCGGGCAGGAAAAGAAGAGATGGACAGGAGAGATGAAATTCACCTGTGATATAATTTGCCTGAACTCTATAGAATTGGCAGAATTGGATCAGTTGACCCTTCTGACCTTTAAGCTGTGCGATTACTGTTTGCTAACCCCCAAATGAAGAAAGTGTCCCTTTCTGTTCCTTTAAGTTTATGAAAGTGTATCTCCTGTGGATGCTAAGCAATGCAGCTATAAGCAGACACCCCTCCAGCAGTCAGCCCAAGGGAAATCTTCCTTCCCACCTTCTGCCGGGCTGTTTTACCTTCACGGTCTTGGGGGGGTGCAAGAAAATCCATCCCTTTTGAAAAGCTACCCCCTGGGGGGTAGGCATTCTGCTCCCAGCAGTGGATGAGGAGCAGCCCAAAGGCCTTTCTTGTCCTTCAGCCCAAGATATGCTCAGAGCCATAGCACAGGCACCGGCAGTGCTGGAGATTGCCTGGGCTGCAGCCACAGAGGGTAGAAGAGAGAGCTAAGCTATGAAATGGAGTTTAAAGAAAGGAAAAAAGATGCTTTAAT